GTGAAATATTGATTTATAATGTTTCAAAATCTTCACTCTTTTTCCGTACTGAAAAGAATGTTTCTGCGTTCGTTTCTTTTAGTTATTTCCATTCATATTACTTAAAATTCTATTTATACAATGAAAAATTGTTTTATTTTTTAAATTCATTCATAAATTTACTATATAAATTATCCTTGAGATTCTGATTCGTGCACTGCATATCATAAATGATTGAATGTCTTTGAACATATAATACATTATATTCACCTTAGATTTATCAAAAAAATTAATTCAAGATGAGTTTAAAAATATATAATGAAAAATAGTATTATAAGATTTTTAATTAATTAAAAATAATAATTATTCATCCATATATAATAAAATTTAATTTTTAATTAAAAATATTTATCATGATGCACTATATTATTGGATAAATTTATGAGAATAATATATATAATAATGTAAGACAAAAAAACTCGTATTTAAATAATATGAAATTTAAAAAATATATAAATTAAAATTTATTAATTTTTAGTTTTCAAAGATGAGTTTTGAATTTGATCATATATGTATCAGCCCGATAATCAAAGATAAGTGTAACCTTTTGAAATATTCAGGATTTTAATACCAACGATAGTCTTTAACTGTCCTACTTTATGAACTTGATCAAGTTCAAGATCTGTCTTTAACAAATTAAAATCAATAAATTTTAAAAATACATCTTTTTAAGTATGTTCATTGAATAATTTAAGATAATGTCTATATACAAACATCGTTGTTATCTGATTTATACTCGTGTTCGTACAAACACATACTCTCAAGAAGTAGTACAAACAATAAGAGTGAACATTCAAATTGTAATTTGGTTTGATATCAAAGAACCAATGAATCAATAAATCATATTCATAAATGTATATATGTATATGATCATTATCTGCAGATATTTTATTCAATTTGCCTTCACTTTCTTCCAATCATTGTTCTAATTTCGATTCATTACCGGCCTTAAAATCGTCGTAGTGTTCAGACACGAACAATAAACTCTCACCGTACTCGAATTGTGACCACTTAAAACTGCTCACCTTCTCTCTCGTTGACTTGAATATGGTCGAGAAACAGTTACTTCCATCCTGCCGGACACCTACAAGGACCATAACCCCACGATATCGGTCCCCAAAATCTAATCCTCATAGTAAAGTTCGAATCAAGACTGTCGAACAATCATCACTTTAGTTGCTTTGCCGATATTAATGTTAACGAATCCATGATGTACTTGATCAGGTCGTTGACAACGGGGAAGCCACATTCCTTCATCAACCTCACCATGGTGATCGAATCATCCAAGTCCTCAGCGTGTCCGCGGGACTTCTCTGCAACACGATTACTGAGATTAACGACATTCAAAACCGCGTCTTGCGTGTGCTTTTGAACATAACTATGGTTCGATCGTGATGAACTTGATCATCTCTGCTAGGGATTCCGTTCTCTCCACGAAGCCGTCCACGGTGGAGAATCCATTCATACTGTTCAAGGCAAACGGCAGTTCATCACTGGTTTGTCAAAATATATAAAAATGGAAATGCACATCAAAGCAGGACATTGAAAGAGAGAGAAAAAAAGCAACATGAAATAAAAAAAAATAGCCATAATGTAAAGAAAATAATATATGAATGCAAGGTAATATATGAATTTTGCTCGATTTGAAAACTCACGAGTTTAAAATTATCAAGTTCGATTCAAAATCGAAGTAAAAGATTGAAGTTCGACTCGAGTTTGAATAAAACTTGAACCGACTATAATGCACTATTTTGTTGAGTCTCCGACTATCAAAAGTTACAAAATAGTTACTCGACCATTCATATGTTCTAAACTCATCTTTTTTCATTAAAAATGATGATCGTTTGAGCTGAACGTTAACCTTCTCATTCGAATATGATAAAATCTGATCCCAAAATCGTTTGAGTTGTATTTTATTGACCGAGTCTATGTTTACATTATGTCATCGAGTCAGTACTTGAAACATTATGTTGTTGACTAGGTGTTTGAAAGTAATAGTGATACCAGAAAACGTTATTAAAATATGATTTTATCATATATTAACCAACATGTTAACGTTCTGTTCAAACGACCATCAATTTTTTACAAAAAAAAATTATAATATATAAATAGTTGAATAATAATTTTATAACTTTTAATAATAAACGATTCAATAAAATAATATTATATAATTTGAATATAATTTTATAAATTTTATAAATTTTTAATAATAGATAGATTTAATAAAATAATATCTTATAACTCATAAACATTAGCGTACTTTACCATCATTAGTGGGATGTGACATTTACGACAAAAAGGGGAGATTTTACTCTTTTTGTCGCTTTGTTCAAAGTTTTTATATTTTGGAATATTTCCATCAAATCCATAGTTATTTACATTTTACGACTCGTTATTTATCGAGTCTTTTCCCATAAATATCAACACATACATACATGAGATAGATCGTTTTGGTTTATCTCGAGTATTTTTACTTATTTAACGATAAATTATACAAATCATCATTTAACTTTTATATCACTCTTATTTTGGGTAGTGAAGTTTAAAGTTTTTAATTTAATCATTGAATTTTTAAATTACTCATATTTTAATAACTTTATATTTTTTTATTAATTTATTAGACTGATCTTCGTTTATCTATCTAACGGTATGCTAACTTTATATTTTTTATTAATTTATTAGACTGATCATTGTGTCAACCACCATTATCGGTAGTCTCTAAACCCAAATTTTTTAGATTAGTCAATTTCGATCCTTTGAGTTCAAAGTCGACCTCTGTAACCCATTTTCAAATCGCAATCAAAACATAAACCTTAAACAACATTCAAACCCTAAACCCTATAACCCATTTTCGATTATAAATCTTATTTCCAAGTTTAATGCTGTAATGGTTGGATCGAGAATCTCAACAGTGGAAAAGTGGACATCGGTGAAGAGAATTAGCTATTAGACTCAAAATTTTTAGATTGACCTATTTTGATCCTCTGAATTCAAATTCGGCCTCCGTTTCACCCGAATCCATAATCCTCCACTAAGTATAAAACTAAAAATCTCAATCAAACATAAACCTTGAATCACAATCAAACCCTAAAACTAATAACCCATTTTCAGTTATAAATATCATTTTCAAATGCTCTAGTGGTCAGATGTAAAATCCCAATAATAGAAAGATGAACACCGATGAGGAGAACAATTCGTGGTAGTTTGACAATCGAATGTTGAGATAGGTGAAAGAGAAGATTGAAAGTTTGAGAGAAAATTTGAGGCTTTTATGGAGTTCCACTGAGAAACTAAATCAAAATACTTGTAGAGGAATAAAAGATTAGTCGAATGCCATTATTGTTAGTCGAAAGTGATGTCAGACGATGACGGTTCAACGAATTGAATTTGTCGAATGATAGATATGTGGATCTTGGGTTGTTTTTCGGTCAAACGGACATTGGATTCGTGTTCAGAAGGATGAGATGAGTTTGGTAGGAAATTTTTAGGTTCATCCTCCTCCAACGACGATGGTTGGTGGTGGTTGAGACAGTGGTTGTAATTTGAGATTGGTTCAGACTGAGGGGGAGAAATATAAAGAAAAATGAAGGAAGAAGAAGAAATAAGATATGTGAGGAAAAGGAAAAAACAAACTTTTTATGAGAATTTGATATCATATCGTTTTGGTCTAAATTTAGTTTTATGTAGAAATTTAAAACGACGTCATTTGTGTAACTTATCGTGTCATAACATCATTAATTATTAAATGATAGAGTGACTAAAACAAGATCAATTCAAATTTTGAGTAATTAAATTAAAATTTTTAAAATCTCAATAATCAAAATAGTAGTGATAAAAAAATAAATGACAAAAAAGTAATTTACCCTTTATAAACCAGTCGAGTTGGAAATAAAATATTTTAAATTGAAAACATGTTTCATATAATTAACAATTCTATATATTATTTTAATAAATTATTATAAAAATATTTTATAAAATATTAATTTATTTTACTAAAATTATTATTTTATTATTTATATAAGAAACAATTTTTTTTATATAAAACTACTTATTCTAATATGAGTTAATTGCATCATATGTCCTCAAATTATGATATTCTTTTTAAATTGGACCCTAAACTTTTAAATATTCCAATTTTATCCTTAAATTATGACTATCATTCTAAATTGGTCCTAAAACTTTTTGAATATTCCAATTTCATCCAAAATTATATGTATATAGTAATCACATCCCTTGTTAATAAAATCTTTAGACCAAGTTATATTATTATATTTTGGGGGGGAAATTAGGTTAAACTGTGATTGAAAGTAATTACATATTTAGAAAAATTTGAGATGAAATTGGATTATTAAAAAGTTTGGAGATCAATTTAAAAATAGAGTCATAATTTAGGGATGAAATATAATATTCAAAAGTTTAAAGATTAATTTAAAATTAGAGTCATAATTAGTGATGAAATTAGAATATTCAAAAACTTCGGAGTCATGAATATCCGGAATTAAAGTTCTAGCGCGTAGGGGTAAAACAGGAAACGGAGTAAAAACAAAATTTATTCGAAACCAAGTAAACTGGAAAGATAACACTCTAGATGTCTCCAGGTGACAAACAATCAAACTCGGGTTCCGACACGTGTCCTAAAATTAATTAAATAAACGGGAAAACGCATATAAATATCTTACTTCCCACCAGGAAATATTTACTTTTAAAGATCTTTCTGGTCTTCTTCTCTTCAAATTCGCAACGGTCGTGACAAAGTAAGAAAGTATAATTGAGTTATACTGGATTTTGTTCAACCTTTTCCTTTTTCTCGTCGTTGATTTTCTGCGTTTTTTCCCCTTCTTTTCTTTCGCTGATCAACAAAAACCCTGGGTTTTTTTTCCTGTTGAAATCGGTGTAGGTACTAGCTTCCTTCAAGTTTTTCGTTGTTCTTGACAACGTGAATCAATTGAAATCGGTGAAAATTTGTGAAAAGTATTGAGATTCGTTAAATCTTTTGGCTATTATTTCTGCGTTTTCGTTCTGTTATTTCTCTGATAATCAAGGACTCCTCGGCGTACATAAAAAAACCTAAATTTTTCGTTGAATTCGATGATGGGTTCGAATGGAAATCAAAACCGGAGAATGGGTTCGGCCGAGGTTTCAGGTTCTTGCCGGAAAAGGAAGCGTCGGGGATTATCGGTGGAGGATACATTGAAGAAGTGGATTGATAATCCTGACGAGAAGAAGGCTCGTAAGGCACCGGCCAAGGGGTCTAAGAAGGGGTGTATGAAGGGAAAAGGAGGGCCGCAGAATCAAAATTGCCAGTACAGAGGCGTTCGGCAGAGGACATGGGGTACATGGGTGGCGGAGATACGCCCACCCAACAAGGAGAAGAGACTCTGGCTCGGCACTTTCCCGACTGCTCTGGAAGCCGCTCTGGCTTACGACAAGGCCGCCGAGGCTATGTCCGGCGACAAGGCTATCCTCAACATGCCTCAGGGTTCAAGCCACTCGGATACTTGCGATAAACATGCCGGAGTCGGAGGCGGAAGTGAAACAACAACGCCGGATTTCGAGTTCCCTGATTCCGGCACTCAGGGTTCTAGCTCGGTCGTGAATTTGTCCAATGGGGTTTCAACGGCGGCGAGTACTTCTGTGGGTTCTGATCCCACCGTGGATGCATCGAGCCACTCGGATACTTATGTGGGCGGCGGAAGCGAGACAACAACGGCGGCAGAATTCGAGTTCCCAGATTCCGGGACGCAGACTCATAACTATCTGGACGGATTAGACATTTTTGGCGACATTTCAACTGATCTTGGAGGATGTGATTTATGGGAAGGATGTGGATTTCTTGATCTAGAGTAGCTTTTTCTTTAATAGATGAACAGAGTATACTCATTTCTCAATTTCGTTTTGGTTCAAGCCTTTGTTTTTATTGTACAATGAATACTTGTGGAAGAGCTTTGTTGTTCTTCTGGTTTTACGCAGTCACTAGACAGAACCAGTTTATGTTCGAACTCGTTAAATGTATATAGACGAAGAAGAACCGTGATTCATAATATATATATATATATATATATAAATTATCATTTTGATTAGTCGAAATAATGTTAAATTTAATCTTAAAAAATTAAATAAAAAATAACTAATCAATCGAAAATATGTTATAAATTTAGATTAAAACGTGTCAGATAAAATTATTAAAAACTAAAAATATAAAAAAATATATGATATATAAAAAATAAAAAATAAAGAATACATAGGTTAGGTTGACTATTAATATCATAACTGGTAATATCATCGGTCAAATAAAAGAAAAAAGAAAAACGACGACCTTTAGAGTTTTTTTTATAAAAAATACGGCTTCTAAAATGTTGTATTTTAATTAACTAGAACCGGTTTAACTAAATGGATTAGGTGGTCGATCTTAATCGATTTATACTTTATAATAACAATAAATGTCGATCAAATTAAATTAAGGCTGAATTGGATTTATTTTAAACTTGACTACGAGTCTACACCTTATTCTAAAACTACTTAATTCACGTTTAGCCCTTAAAGTATATCAATTTTTTCATTTTAGCATTTAAACCTGTTTTGGCCTAATTTAATATCTAAACTACTATTTCATTACATCAAAAAGGAAAAAAGTTGACAATAAGAACATAATACATGACGCATTTTTAAAGGACTTTAATATTTTTTTTTTAAAAAATGAGAATGAAATTGAAAAGGCCAAACTGATAAATAAAAAATTAGGCACTAAATGAAAAAATGAATATGCTTTAAAGGCAAAATCATTTAAAGGCAAAATCATGTATATAACTATTTAAGATATTCGTGTTCAATTATGTATTTTTTTTATTTATTTATACATGTATTGTATTTTATTTTTATTTTTAATTTTCTGACTGCCGGATATCTTCCACGGAAACTACTCTCAACCTGGCGTTAGGGGTAACCTACTACCCTACCTCTCCCTTACCTCATTACATATCCCATTACATATGAGAATAGGGTTTTATTGTTGTTGTGTTTGATACTCGTTCCGACATATATCCCGACATAAATAATAAGAAAATTATATATGGAAAAAAAATCTTCATACTCGTGTAAAACAAATATCCGAATCTATGTGACATAATCAAAATGTGTGTTTCATGTGTCTAAGGAAGCAAACAAAATCCAGGCCAGCAATTGCCACTCAATCTTGAAGAATAATGGAGGTTTTCCATGCCTAAGAATTTGTTTAAGACCAACTAAAATAAATATTACAAACGAACTCCATCTACTTGTCTAACAGTCTCCCATGCTACTACATCATCGTCCGTCATCAGTTCATCTAATCGAACAGCCCGTCGTTGTGCCAAATATCAACTAGAAAATCTACCATTTCCTGCACAATCAGATGTATTGCAGTTATTAGTAGTCAATGGTGTTTATGATGGTATTCCTATGGCTGCAGTAATTCAATTATACAGAGGAAGCCGGATCAAACCCGTTCTCTCTTTTCGAATATACTATGGAACTAAAACGGGGGAGGGAATAGAATCGTAAACAACCGCTATATCACCTAAGCATTTTAATGTATTCTTTGATGATTGATTCGATAAAAACAACCACTTGTTCTTGATGTCCAGTTCGGGGAACTTACCGGTAAAGGAATTGGCTGGGAAAATGGCTCATTAGTTGAGAGAAGCTCTTCGAATGTTGTGGACCAGCTGCAACATAAAGTGTTCGCAGTTATTATCCAACATGCTCGAGCAACTATAAGAAAGTTTTAAACTAATAAAATCTACACATCAAGCAAGGTAAGAGACGTTCTTTGTTTAATCGTAAATGTTATGCATAATAATGTCTATTTCTAATTTCTATGCTGCGACTTTGTGATAGTTCCCTATGAAGTTGATCATATATATTCTATTTGAGCGAACAAGTGTATGGAGTTTAAGAATCCGTATGTATAAATATCAACAATAGCCCTTTTTCAGTCGGAAAACCGGATCAGTTACCGTTCACCTTCCGATAAATATGGCACACAATAAACAACATGTGCAACCATAAAAGGCATCATCTCTTATTACTCGTATTTCGCAGGGTCTGCAAAAGTTTCATTCGCATTGAAGTTTGAACAAGCACTTAAGAGAAAACACGAAAAGCATTGATTTTTTTCAACAAACCCAGAATTATATCACGTAGGCCAACACCGAATAGCAACTTCAGCTCTAACTTTTTAACTGCACATATTGAAGACGAAAAAAATGGCAAAGATGTTTATTAGCACCAACATTTTGGTTCTCACTTCTCCCTGACCATTTTCCATTAAATACAAATTTATTACATTTCTTGTTTAAAGAAATCGACGACATAAAATGTAAAAACGGGGGATATGATCCTCCAAATAAATGGAAAATTCAGAAAAAAGTAAAAACCTAAAAGAGCATTTGATGGAAAATAGTATATGTCTAACACTCATCACCTAGTCCGGGTTACACGGTTTTCAACTAGGCTGTTCCTGAATGCATATATGATGTCTATCTCCGCACAACCAAAATAGTATACAGTAGAGCAATATCAAACAGTCATTGAACAAACGGATGTAGAAAACGTTATACCTTATAACTTGATCCTTGCTAATCTTTCGTGATTGTTGCGATTTATCCCCTGTCCACCTTTTTCTGTTCTCGTGCCAAGCGATTGTAGCTAAATGATAGATTCAATTAGATTATAACTTCATGATCAAATTTCTAAACATAAATATATGCTCTGTTGAAACAAAAACAACAGTTCTAATTCTGCATTTCCTTTTGAATGGTAACTTTTTTTGACATGGTACAGCGATGTTACCCTCTAAATACATAGAGCATATCCGTGTTGGACATGTACCCATATTCGACATGTGAGTCCAAACGGGCTCGTTTGGGAATCCTTCTGGAAGTGCTTTTGGCCCAAAAATCTGTTTTAAACGCAAAAGCAATCCCAAACAGTCAATTTTCAGCCAAAAATTCACATTCGAAAAGTGATTATTGACTAAAACCAAGAAGCTGGAAAAATGATGCTTTTGCGTTGGACAAGCTCGTTGGAGAATCACTTCTCGAAAACATTCCCAAACGAAATGAGTGGGAAAGTCTTGTACAAAACCATGTCTTATCTAACAGCTAAAATGACAGACATTGTGGCATTGATAATCTTTGAGAAATTCTTAATTTCATTGCAAAAATTGGGAAAATACCGATAATCAAACACTATAAACCATCTAAAGCAAGGGAACTAACCATGATTTACAAATGCAGAAGCGCTTGCATCTTTTTCCGCAGGCCTTTTCCCTTTATCAGCAGATTTTCGACAATCCGATGGATGTTTCTCATTCGAATGGGAATATCCAGTATTGAACTCCATCATCTTCGAACCAAATGACCATTCCCTTTTCATAAAAATTGAAATACTCACCAACAGTGCTCCTCTTACATTCCCTCAAAAGTCAAATTTATCCACAAAAGTTGGTAGGGATTCAAAGTCCACTGCAATGAATGAAGATATTTTCAGTCCGAATATTGCCTGTTTACAACAATATGACTCCATCGACTGGGCTTGGTAATATTACATGCTATAGTATACATAACCAAATATTGCAATACAATCTGTTTTTACATCACATATACATCTAACACCGTATAACAAGCTTTTTCATCTTGATTCTAACTTTTCTTATAGCTCGGATTCTAAAACCTCTTTATAAATTAACACACACACATTTATCAACAATAATAGCTCAGTTCTATATCAACGACCTTCTTCCCCTAGTGCTTATTCGGTTCAATCCAACACAATCTTATCCTTATGGACATGAAATAAGAGCATAAACTGAAAATATGGAATTCATCGAAAAATATTTATGCATGTACAAAATATTATCTGAGAAAGTCTAGATGGATAGCACGTCCATTAACATGAATCAAGATCTTGCTTTATTTACATGAAAAATAAAGCAAGCCTCCAATTTCACTCAAGTTCTTGGTCCGAAAAACACAACAAAACTCCACCAGATTCCTCAAAACTTCCCAATGAATTTGTCCTCGTTCAACAATCTAAGCAAAGCAAAAACCTAAAGAACCTCGTCTTGTTCAAGAACATTAGAGTTTCAAGTTGTACATTTTTTAAACAATCTTGACTATATATACACATGATGAAAGAAATACATTCCAAATCCATAGCTTCTCAACTTAAGAATCAGCTAGAATAATAAACCCTATCATACAAGAACAACAATGTGAACAAATCAAATAAACCATATAGACAAAAGATCCATAAGAAAACACCAAAAAACATAGACTTTAGAGAGAGAGAAATCAACAATGCATTTGGCCATGAAAAAGTGAAACAAAAGAACACCCATTTCAGAATCAACCGATCCAAACAATAAAACAAAAAAAATGGGGAAAAAGGCACAATAGAAGAGAAAGTAAACAAAATAAGATACCTTTGAGGATGGTAAAGGTGAGATTTTGGAGTTGGTTTATGGGAAGAGATAAAAAAGTTCAAAAAACGAAGGAAATCATTATGTGTGTTTTCTGCAAGTTTTCTTGTTTTGTTCGCTTATTGATGTGTTGTTGTCGTTCTTAGCTTTGGTTTTCATTACATTTGTGTATGAACGTCTTTGCCTAAGCCGACGTGGATGTGATTTGGAATTTTGACGCGTGGAATTTTATAATGGATAGAATCTTGAACTGATTTCAGATGGCTTAATGCAAAAATAGGCGGTGAAACTATACTCAAATTTAATTTTAGGTATTTAATTTTTTTTTTAAAATAAGTGTTTAACGTTTTTAACATTATATTTTTAAGTTCTTGTTATTAAATTCGATCGTTAAATGAAATGTGTTAGGCTTATAATAGTTTAAAAATTTTATTTAAAAAAAGTTAAAATTTTATATGTCGGACATATATCACTTAACGGTGTTAACAACTCAAACACCTAAAAAGTGTAACTAGGTATGGGTCGGGTTCTTGGTCCACTCGACCCAAACCCGACCCGATCTAACCCGAAATAATAATAAAATATTTTTATTGAATAAAAATAGTGACTTAATTGAAAAAATAATATATAGAAGTATATTATTGTAATTATTCTTAAATATATAAAGTAAAATTATATATTTTTTTGGGTCGGATCGGTTATTTTTCATCCTAAACCCTAACCAGACCCGACCCGGACATCACATTAAAAAACTAACCCGAACTCAATTTTTTTTAAAAAAAACCCGACCTGATCGGGTTCGGGTCCTATGCTCATCCTTAAGTGTAACGTTGAAAACGTTAGACACAAACGAAAAAATCTTTAAACGCCTAAAATTAACTTTAAGTATAATTTGGATATTTATTTTTACATTAAGACGTTTAAAAAATAAGAATATTGATGGTAAAATAATTCAATTTTAAATATATATAGTATTATGATTGGTATTTTAAATTTATCTACGAAGATATTTTAATTGAAATTTTAATTTATTATATCATTTCAATTAAGTTTTTTTATCTAATTATTAATTTAAATATTAAATATTAATTTAAATTTTAAATAGAATATGTTAGACTACATCAAACTAATTGTAAACATAATGCATTTATTTAATAGAGAATATTGATTTGACGTATTAAAAAATCTTATTAATTTTAATGTTGATGTTTGATTTCTGTATGTGAGACTAAATTATTTGTACAATATGAATAAAACTATTAAATTTTGATTTAAATATTTTAAATATGCTCAAAATCAGTTATGTAATTACATTGTTTAATACTCACAAAGATTGTTAGACCAAGGAAAGAGTTTGATTGAAATGATATTGATGGTTTAAGGATTCAATTAAAATATGTTGAATTTTAAAAACTAATTTGAAATCTAAAGCAGGGTTTAAGGATGTTTGATTCAATTGTCTATTTTTTCACCAATAATGTAACACGTGAGTAGGTATGAAGTGTTTGGTAGGAATCATTTGTATTTTTTATTTATATTTATAACTTGGAAAACTTATATATTTTTTCCTTCTAGTCTTTCTAATTTATTACAAATCCATACATTGATTTGCCGATGCTCCTTATATTTTTTTTCGGGAAATACACCAAATCTTTTACATATCCAACTTTTAATATTATATATGAATTTAAGATTTTTTTCAAATTAAATAATAATTTTTTAAAAATTAAATTTGTTATATTATCCTACTAAATGTTGAACCACCTAGAATCATGAGTAATAAATAGGAGTCCATCATCAATCGTTGACACAGAAAACAAACTTAATATGTCTAGATCTCGTGATAAAAACTTTGACTAAACCTCAGCTTATGAATTGATCCTATAATACACACAAGTTCCAAGAGAAAATAAGTACAAATAGAAAGGAAATGAGTAAAATGACCATCGAACACACATAAGTTAAGACTTCTTTTTACCTACGAATCTTCACCAAAATCAGAAAGAATGAATCGTTCATCTTAAGTTAACGCCCGTTATTTAATATGTCCTAATCACCACTTCACATGTTGCACATCAATGTTGGTGCAGTGAGCGTGAATCGAACCTCCTAACTAATAGAATTAATCAAAAGGTGTAACTCATAACAAGCCCAAAATTAATCTCGTAACAAAGATGCTTGTGATGAAAAACAAGAGAACCAATACCTTCCTCAAGCCCATGACTCAAAACCTAAACCAACGTACATATTACTAGGGTCCACAAAACAACTATTTCTAACTCAAAATCTGCAGCACCCTAGTGAAAGTATGTGACAACAAAAGTTTGAAATGATAACGAAAGAATTGAATGAGTTGAAGGCTACCCCAGACCCAAATGCCAATTTTATCATGGAAGAAAGAAGCCCTTTAGCTTATCACTTATTAGCTACAACATATCCTATAAATTTTAAACTATCAAAGGAAGTATATGATGGCAATATGGACCCCATAGATCACATGTCATAGTAAAAAGCCTATATGGATATTCTGAGAGCTTCTGATAAGCTCAAATGTAAAATCTTCCTAACCACCCTTCGTATAGGTACCAAAAATCGATATTATTTCCTTCATCCTAATTTTATTTATGCTTTTAGAGGTTTATAAAAGCTTTTTGTATGAAACTTCTTGACTAATAAGGTAACTCATAAGTTCATAGTAACTCTATTTATTGTAGAACAAGAGTAATTAAAACGTTGTTGTCGTTCCAATAATTCTCCTTTTTTTATTGACCTCAACCTTCTTAATTTGATCCGGTCCTTAATTCCTTCAATTCTCTATTTTTTCTCGTCCATGACCATGACATCCAACAAATTGAAAAACTACTTGAAAGATTACAACCCAAGAACTTCAAAACTAACCACAATAATGGCACATCGCATGTAACAGATTTTAAAATTTGATTTCCTTTGAAACTAAAAGTTGCATACGCAATAGAAGCTATCGGGCACACTAGAACATTGATTATAATAAAATGTAACAACGGATTTACTACATATGTCGTGTCCATATAGTCCGATAGCTTTTTATTTAGTCTCTTTATTAACCCAAGAAAGTGATGAGCATTAGTAGTGGAAGGCAATTTGCATCAAAGACTTGAGATTTTGGGAGTTGGAGATGTGAACTTGAGGAATTCAGCATCTTTCTCCAACAAAAGCATCCTTTTTTCATCCAATGTTATCCAAGCTTCAACGTCTTTCCCACACTTTGTTCGGACAAAAACAACGAGGTTCCTGAAATCAGACCCCACTTCCCCAAATGGAGCAACCCATTGCGGCTTTCCCCATCCGAAATCAAGCTCGTAAAGCATGAGATCAAACCAGCTTGTGAAGGCCAACATGTCTGGTTTTTCATAGGAAAACATGGTTTCCAACTGGTTAATGAAGTCCCCCAAGGCTTCAAACCCTTGCTCCCCTTGTAATGAATTCAAGTATTCTTCGTCGAAACCTTCCACCGATTCTCGCATCAACTTGACCAACTCGAATAGCTCAGTGCTGGTCTCGTCGGCTATATCTGCAGCGCAACTTGCCCACCAGAACAGGTTTCCAATCGAATTATGTAACATAGGAGGGTTCATTCTTGGTCTAAGGTTCACAGCTTGAACTGCTATAGATGGTTTCGATGAAGCCGAGATCGTCCAAGACGCTGCCATAAAACGTTTCCAGATAAAACCTGATAAAGCTTGAACCCGAGACGGTGAAATCTCAAGTTCCCCTTTAGCAATGGCCCTCAGTTCATTTAAGGATTTGGCGTCGAACGTGAATCTCTTTGTAATGTAATTATTATATTCCAGGAACCACAAGTTTTCCATCGTTGACAAGTAATTTTTTGGGACTTCATTTTGTGGAGGAAACACCTTGGATGCCTCAGCTAAACCATGAAATCCAACATTATGGTACTGAGATCCTCGAGAGATTGTACTCCAAAGATTGTTAAAATTAATATATGTTTGCCCATCAACGAGCTTATGAGAAACTGCGAGTCCTATGGCTATCCCGCCACAAGCGAAAATAGTGGCTTGGCACACAAGGGGGGCAACCTCACTTTTAAATTCCTTGGAGAAAGGATGGCATGGAAGCAATTTGTTTAATGACTTAACCTCGTGGAGCTTGAGGAACTCGGACAACCGACAACCGGCTTGAGCCGATAGAAAAGGAACGCCCTCATCGAAACTGTCGACGAACATGTTGTCTTTGATCCGACCAGACAATGGATAAAAGAGATTCAGGGTTTCTGAAAGTGAGGTCTTTAGCTGAGGCAAGATGATGGTGGGAGTGAAACTGGTTTCACTGATGGAGTAGAACAAAATACCTGTGCCGTAAATTGAAGGGGTGAGTTGATCAAAGAAGTTGAGTTTGAAAGGTTTCATGCCATGGATTTGTGGTGAAGATGGTTTGATGATTTCTCTTGCAAAAATTTCAACCTCAAAGTTAAACATTTTCCAAATTTGCTAAAACTGCTCCTTTTACAAAGGATGGTGAACTCAGGAATTCCATATATACGCACACATGTATATTTAGTTAATTAGCTTAGTACTTAAACAAACACTTTTGATCAGTTGATTAAATTATTTATCTTCATTTTGTCATGAGTTTTTAACCCTTTAAAATTATTTTAATTCTTTTCCTTAGAGCCTCACATTTCTCTCCCATTCGAGTAGGATTAAAATCAGATTTAAAATTTATAAAAAAAACTAATTAACTTATGACCTCTTTTGGTCCTTGTATTATAGTTAAAAATATTAATTAAAAGTGAATAAATAAATAATAAATTTTTAAATAAACCTTTTTCTCAAATCTTTTGTTATTATATAAATTTTAAAAAGATATTTATTTATATACATTGTGGCAAAATTTCGATATTTACAATGGTGAAGGGTTACAATTAATTCGTGGAGAGGCAACTGACAACCTTTTCCTGACAGGGATGGGCTAATCTATTGCGTTGGAAAAAGGATTTGTTATTGGGAATCATAGTAGCATTTATTATTGAAAAATAATTAAATATTTTCAAGATTATTGTATTATTTTATATTCTAGTTCTACAACATTGTGTCTCCGTATTATTTTATTTAGAAATCTTGATTTATCTATTTTTTTAATTTATCATTATTTAATTTTTTTAATAGTTATAAAAAGAAAATTACTTTTAAGTTTTAATAAACTTGTCACACCTCAAATTAGAGTTTATTTTTTTAAAATTTATTTCGAGGATTAAATTAAAGTTTAATTAAATTTAGGGACCACAATAAAATTGTAATTAAATTTAAATCTAAATTTTGAAATAAACTAAAACTAGAGGACCTATGATATAATTTTATCATTTTCCTTTTTAAGGAATATATAACCCCAAATATGTAAAGTCTCCTCATTTAAAACCTCATTCTCTCTCTTCAAGTTTTTTTCTTTTAACAAGAAATTTCAATTGATGTTTCATCGTAGATCGTTGTTTCGTTTTCGACACCACCTGCACCATCGTGTTTCTCACATCGTCCCGAGTCTATCGGTGTTCATCTTGTCTCTGTTACCGTCGGTGTGTGAGGGGTGAAAAAGATCAAATTTTCGACATTGCAAAATTGATCTCTCCGCGCATTCACCGTTGTGAACTGGGCTTAGTAAGTGTCTCAAAACTCCTTAAAGAGCATATAGAAATTTTTTTCTCTATTTTTTCGATACCGAAATGCCCTGCACGTGCCCCTACTCATCGTTGCTGCGCGTGGGGAAGGTCCACCTCCTAGCAGGTTTCTAGAAGCTACCTGACTCGACTTGCCTACCCGAACCAAACCGTTAAGCATTGACTGTTGACCGTTGATCGCCGTTGACTTTATTTTGAAAACCTTTATTTGGATGTTTTTCGATGTCCCGAGTCATATTTTGCGATCCATTTTGCTAAATTATAACCCAAAAGCCCTGAATTGAGCCCGTTAATCCGAAAATACTTAGCATTTTTGCTTATTTATTTGAGATTTGATTATGAAATTTATTAAAGTATATAGATTTATGAATGTACCAGTGTTTCTCCCGACCGAGGGTCGATTAGATCCGCTCAATCCGCATTCTTCGAGAGTTACTCGTAGGTTATGTAGATTGTTTAAATATATGTTATTACTATTCATATTAGGATTATGATATAGATTTTTCAATTTGTATGATCTAGCGCTGTCGTTGATCGTAATCGGCAGACTCAATAATTGGTTTCCTTATCATACTACTCAAAACAATACATGTATGTTTCCTGATTGTGTTACATTACTATTTTAAACTATTTATCTGAATTGTTTTAGATTTCTGGTGATATTAAATATTTTTATGACACGATACCTGATTTTCTGAATATTGTTTATATGATACTTGATTTACTGTATTTTTTTATATGATCTCTGGTTACTATATTTTTGTATCTGATTTCTGAGTATGAAATATTTTCACGTTTTAATAGATTAAACTATTGTTTTCACTTGAATAAATACATGTTTAATATTGTCATTAGAGATATTATTGGAGGGAGTATATCGGGCATAGTCTATGACTTATAAGACCTTACTGCAGACTTGTTTGCTTTGTGCGTAGGGTAAGTCCTTGCCACATGTCCTTATGCTATATGTATAAGGCCTTTACTGGGTGTACATGTGGGTGTATAGTTATGGAGAACCTACACATTCTGGTGTTCGGATGTAGGTAGTGTTCATATTTTTAAAACATGCTTGATGAATTGATTTTTACTAGAGTATTTTATCTGTATGTTTTTATACACTGTAACGAGTACACCGATTTTTTAGCTCATTTTGTAAATTTTAACATTTTCAGATAATAATATACCATAGACTAGCACACTTGACATCAGGAGGAACGACTACTCTAATTTTTACACCATTGTATATCTCTATATGTCTTTAGTTATACTTTCGTGACACGTGTTTTTTCTACTGTCTTGGTATATATGTATTATAGGTATTTTGTTATGTATATGTTTTATATGGTTTTCTGATATATGAATATATATATATATATATATATGTTTATCGTATGAATCTTTCTTATGGCTAATTCCATATTATATTATTATATGGATTTTAACGTTGTTTTAAATATGAAAAGAATTTATGAATACAATATGTAACCACCTAAACTTGATCATAACGTCCAGAACGAGTCTAGGGGTTTACAAATTTTATTAGGATAAATTTTTAAACATTGTGTCCCCAAATTTTGACTTTCATTATAATTTAGTTTCCAAACTTTTGAACATTTAAAATTTTACAACTCTTGATCTAAATTAATCCTCAAACTTTTGAACGTTATGATTTCATAACCAAACTATAAGCACATGCTAATTATGTCTCCTGTTAATAACACTGTTAAAAAATGTTATGTCATGTAGGCATTAATGTGTATTATATAATAGTACGATGTTGCATAAAAGGTAATTAATGTTGTATCACGTCCCTTGTAATCATTATTTAGAATGAGATTAAAATATGCTTTGATTTTTAATTTTATTCTCATAATTTGTTTATAATTCTTTCTACACTTCAAAGTTAAATTATTATTTATTTAAATTCAATATTAACTATTGTTTATGTAACATCATATTATTACATAATTCAAAAAAGTATTTACATGACAATTAAATTTTTTAATGATTTTGTTAATAGAGAACATGATTAGCATATACTGATAATGTAGAGGTAAAATAAAAATGTTCAAAAGTTTAGAGATAATATGATAATTAAATTTTTAACGATTTTATCAATAGAGAACATGATTAGCATATGCTAATAATATAGAGATAAAATAAAAATATTCAAAAGTTTATAGACTAATTTAGAATGATGATCATAATTTAGGGATAAAATTGAAATGTTAAATTCTAGAAGATCAATTTAAAACGAGATTCATAATTTGAAGACGAAATTTGAATGTTTAAAAATTTGAAAACCACTAAAACAAAAACCACAGTTCCGATATATACGATACAATTAAATCTAATAAATAATATATGTTATTTTAACTCTTTTGATTTGGACTATATTGGTCCGTGAAGTTTTTGGACCAAATTAATTATTGAACTTATATTTTAGAGGGACCAAATTTATAAAATTTTAGTAGAGCAAAAATAGATTATCAATAAAAATATAAAAAATATTTAAATTATATAAAAATTTAAACTTTTCAAGGACTTAATTAGTCAAGTAGTCTGATTGAAAAAAATAAAAGACTGGTGATCAAAATGAAAATGGATAATAGTTAAGTGACCATAAGTATAAGTTACCGTTTTAACTATTAAGATGAATAATATTACATTAAATATAGTTATTAATAATCAGAGTATTGATTGCAACCGACCTTAGCTCAGCCAGCTTTAACTTCCATTACCTACCCAAAGCCGGCTCCTTCAACGCCTTGCTGCCAAAATTCCTCCTCAATTAAAATGGAAGAAACCCTCCCTTAAGGGTTTCTACATATATATAATAATTAGTGCCCCTCTCTCTCTCTCTCTCTCTCTCTCTCTCTCTCTCTCTATATATATATATATATATATAATGTAATTTTAATTTTATGCAAATTTAGGATTATTGGATAAGTAAAATATACGATTGAGATTTACTTTTTTCTCTATGAATATATTTTCATTCCTTATTGTTAATCTCAGTGGTCTATTTTCACTCATATAACGGTACTAAATTTGTTTCAAACTAAAAAAGATTTACATTGTGTTATTAGATAAGCAATTTTCAGTTATCGGACATCGTAAAAATTCTAAATCAATTATTGAGATGTTACATGGGATTTTAAATAGATTCTACATTTTAGTTTGTATTCAAATTACTCCTTATCTTTGTAATTTGGGTACCATATTTAAAATTAATTTCAATTCAATCCTTAATAATTTGAATTTCTAGGTCCCTTTAGAGTCTAAATTTCACTTTTATTAGTAAAATTATTACCTAAAAATTCTAACATGTAAATCAAGGTCTATAAAACTTCACATCGAAAAGGAAAAAAAGTCACGGAGATTATAAGTGATGACATACTGAAATGTCTTTTCAAAAGAGGATAGCAGTTCTTCACAAACCTAAGAAAGTGATGAGCATTAGTAGTGGAAGGCAATTTGCATCAAAGACTTGAGATTTTGGGAGTTGGAGATGTGAAGTTGAGGAATTCAGCATCTTTCTCCAACAAAAGCATCCTTTTTTCATCCAATGTTATCCAAAGCTTCAACGTCTTTCCCACACTTTGTTCGGACAAAAACAACGAGGTTCCTGAAATCAGACCCCACTTCCCCAAATGGAGCAACCCATCCGAAATCAAGCTCTCTTAATTCTCGTACATTTTAAATATATTTTTTATTACTAATCTATTTTCATTCCTTAATATTTTATAAATTCTCTCTTAATTTTATAGGTTCGATTCTCTAATATTAAAGTTTACCTCTTAA